TCTCGGCGTCAATGTGAGGCACCGTACCTGACGTGAGGGAGCATGATGTAGTGAATGCTGGCTGCGTCTTTCTCCTCTACAGATACGGGGTCGATCAGGTGACGCAGGTTGCGGTACATCAGCTCAGTGATGAACGGCGTGAAGGGAGCCTAAAGAGGGTACAGACATTCATACTACTACAAACGGATTCAGCTCACTTCCTTCCCCCCCCCACGAGTCGCCTCACAAGTCACTGCATGGCCGCGAGACTGAGCACAGTGTGAAGCTAAATTAAGACTGAGCTGCTGCACACACACACACATACACACACACCACTCACCATCAGTCTGCACATGGAGAACAGCACACTAAAGAGGGTCTCCAGAGCCCAGACACAGTCTTCAGGTCCACTCTCACCCTGACAGACAAAAGGGAACATGCTAATTATTTAAAAAGCCATGCTAATAGAATATAGTGTTGGCAGCACTGCTCTCTGCTCATGTCCAACCATATACATTCTTCAATTTACAGAGGGGATTAAAGTTTGTGCACCCATCAGACTTTTCTATATTTCTGCATAACTATGACCTAAAACATCACATTTTCCCATCATCACAAAGTAGACAAAGAGAACCTAATTAAACAAGTGTGTTTATTATTCATCGTGGACTATTATTACACGTCTTTGTTGGTCACTCGACCTGAGGAGGATAACAAAGGTCTTGAATTTCCTCCATACTCTCTCTGAATGTGGATCAGTGGAGTCCAAACTCTTTAGAGATGGTTTTGTGACCTTTTCCAGCCTGGTGAGCATCAATAACGCTTTTTCTGAGGTCCTCAGAAATCTCCTTTGCTCGTGCGCTTCCACGAACATGTTTTGAAGATCAGACTGATAGATCCCTGTTCTTGAAATAAAACCGGGCGCTCACTCACACCTGCTCCCATTGATTGAAATCACCCGACTCTAATCTCACCTTCACATGAACAGCTAATACTAGAGGTTCTCATACTTTTGCCTCTCACAGATACGTAATACTGAATCATTTTCTTCAATAAATAACTGACCAAGTATAATATTTTTGCTTTGTCTATATTTAGGACTTAAAAAATACCTTCTGTAATTTCAAGGCAACAAATGATGACTACATGCTAGAACGGTCACCTTAACCGATTTGTAATGTGCTCGTTCACTAGGCCTGCTACTTCAGTGGCTTCAGAGCACCCGTAAGTTATGCGTCCTTAATGCAAAGCAAAAATAAGATTAGCTTAAAAGCTACAAAGGGAAAACTAAATCTAATAATTCAATCCAAAACACCAAAACAACGTACAAACATTAAAACCGCTTCGGTGTCACAAACTGATGCCCGTGGCCGTATAGTATATAGAAGTGAATCCATCACTCGGGAAAGCTTCAGACTTCTAATAGAGGTGTTGCATAACAACGTGCCCTGAAATCAAACAGAGTGGGCAGAAATAGCTCGCTCTGGAGTGAGAGTCACACTTCAGCCTACCTTCAGACGCCTGCGGTTCGTCCTCACGTACCAATTAGTCAGCATGTCCACAAACTTCACCAGCCTCGGCACAACGGTGTACAACCTGTAGGCTGACACACAAGAACACACACACGTTATTTTAAAACAGAGAATTCATTGATCAGGAATATCCATACTGTGAACATACAGTATTGTGCAAAAGTCTAGGAACCCTACTTTTGTTGTTTTTTTTTCTCCAAAATTCTTTATAGATTTTTGTACTTTCTGACTTCTATGACTTATCAAGTCAGTACAAAAACATTTTAGTTTTCCAGCATGAAATTAAATGTTACAGACAAATGTTTTTATGTCAGTAATGAAAGCAGCAGATTATGTAAGAGAACACTTTTTAGGAGAAGTAAAAACAAACAATGAAGGCTGCTGGGATTCGCTGCACAAATAAGAATAAGAAGAAGTGAGTGTGACAGTCAAAGTCTCCAGAAGAATTATGGCTGGTTCTGCAAGACGCTCAATAAAACTTACAGCTCAGGTCCTTATAAAACCGCCCTAATTGTCCCGGATAATACTTTTTTTTTATAATAAAAACATTTGTCTCACACCAAATATGGACTATGTTCCATTTACTACTGTTTACTGCTCTTTACAAGATACATATATTTTAAATGTAGAAACCTTTCATTTCATTATTTTTGAAGCCATCTTTGCTCTACAGTATTTCTTTGCATGGGCCTAAAACCTTTTTGACTGCTGCAGGTAACAGATACAGCATACAATGTGAATTCAGGGCTGTGTCTCAAACCATTCTATGTACTAAATAGGATGCGCTAAACAACAATGACACCACAGGTGTACTAGCGTACTTTTTAGAAGGGTGGAATGTGATTTGGCCTACACCTAAAATATTCAAGATTCACAAAAAGCATTATGAAAATAAAATCGTCGCCGTTTTATTGATTAAAAACTCGCCTGACATAACGGAGTTTGAAAAAGTAGAGAGAAGCTGGCCAACGTTAGTACGCTAGCTAAAACGGGCATGGAAAGACGAAGGTCTGTAGAAAAAATACACACTCAAGGTGGGCAAAAGACTCTATATTTACTCAATATAACTGGGGCTGAAATGTAGAAATAGAGGGCTGCAGGGATGACGGATTTTTGTAGGCCAACCCAGAAGTTAGCATCACCCTGGATCCCTCGACAAAAAGCCAATAGGATTTTTCCATTGGGTTTTAGATTATTGCAGAAAAACTCTGTGGCCAACAAAAGTTTAGGATTTTTACACATTTTGTTCATCAAGATAGTCTTCACAAACGAACACAGCATGTATGAATACTGAAGCTTAAATACAATCAGCAGAAGTAAATCGTTTGGAATGGTTTGCAAGAGCTCAAGTTTGTGGTCAACGAGGCAGTACTGGAGACGGTTTCCTGTTCAGTGTGATGACGTTTCACGTATCCGATAACCTCTGTAGTCCTATTTAGCACCCATCTAACCGCCTTTTTCAAGACATGTAAAAGCTTTTTAAAAAATTATAAAATACACACACGAGTGGGGTATAATTGTATTTTATGTCGTAGAACAAACCATGAAAATATCTTGAGCTTGTGTTAACCACAGACAATATTTCAGGCATTTAACCAAAAATCCAAGGACACAATAATCCGATTTACATGGACAACAATAATCCGATATTAACCCGATTAAGATGATATGCTGATTAAGAAACTAGCATGTAAACAGTGATTATTGATGATCTTAATCTGATTAAAGTCATACTCGAAGTAAACACAAATGGAATTAAGACGTGGAGTATTCCTGTTTTAGTTGCATTATCAACATTTATTACAGACATGTACACACCTTAATCACACTTAACGTCGTGTGAGAGTTTTTATCACATTTTGCGACAGGACACGTACACACACCGCAGTGCTCAACCGTTTTATGGCAAACAAGAGATCATGGCTGCGTCAGAAACCGCGTACTTACCTGCTATATAGTAGGTGAAATACATGTATCTCGGCTACTAAATAGTAGGTAAGTACGCGGTTTGGGACGCAGCCCACAGCTTCAAACAGTCGTCTATTTGCATGTACAGCACGACAAATAATTAACTGCACTTGAAGCTTTCGTAAAATTAACAAACACCTAAAACTGTATACGGTGCCATAACGAAGATAAACTGTATGTCGATACGTGAAATTCTGGAGCGAACGTCGGACGGCGTGGCGCGGTGATGCGTTGACGTTAGTTGATTTATGTTCTATAACATGTAAAACAAACATGAAAGGAGTATTCTAAAAGTGACACATGTAAGGTCAATAATTAGATTACTGCTGTCCATTTAAACGTAGTCAATGACTTCGGGACGATGGAACCAGACGTACAAAAATGATGACTCGTAACTCATTTCCGGGTTTTTAGATTCATTACTAGGCAATACGGAAGCCTATACAAAGAGTGCTAGCTAAAACACCTGAGAGGATAACTAGACATAGATCTACCAATTTCAACAAATTTACCACCAACTATAAATGTTGCATCTGCTGATTCCACCATGTTTTCATACTGACACGCCTCCAACTCGGATACGCGGCGCTTAAAGAAAACCTGAGCTTCCCCACTTTTTAAATGTTAAATGTTTTAAATGTTTATCAAAAATTTTGGGGACTGCAGCTTTAAGTATGCCGAAGTGTCCTTGGGCAAGACACTGAACCCTGAGTTGCTCCCAATGGCAAGCTAAGGCCCTGCATGGCAGGTTGCTTGCTCTGGTGTTTGAGTGTGTGAGAAAGGGTGAATGAGAAAATAGTTTAAAGCGCTTTGTACAACCACTAGGGTCAAAAAAGCGCTATATAAGTACAGACCATTTACCAAGTATTCTACTATTTGTAGAATAAAATAGACTGAAAGAACAAAAAACAGTTTACTGTCGAATAAATAACGCTCAAAGACATAAAGAAGGAACGCTTTGAAACGCTGATCGTGCGACATGAGTGCATAGAAAAGAACAGAGCACGGCTTCTCCAGCGTGTGCCGCATGTGATCCAATCTACTTGCGTTCTCTGATGTTTCCTCACCATCCATCTCAGCTTTAAAGAACTGAATGAGCGACTGCATGAAGGACTGGATCCATTTGTCCATGATGTTGTCGCTCAGCTTGGCCGTGTTCTCGTTATACAGGAACTTAATGTCCTCTTCCTAAACAGCAAAGACGAAAACAGCTTGAGTTAGCTGCTATTAAGCGAGGACAGTCTGTGTCTTCCTCTGTCCTCGACAGTTTAACATACACCGCAAAAATCCGAACAAAACACTGGTATTGTTGACAATTCAAATCTTCACAATCCACTCAGTAGTGTAAAGTACTAAAGTTATCCAGTTATGAATGAGGTTATCTATTTGATTTGCAGTCTTATTTTACATTACATTACATTTGTGGCATTTAGCAGACGCCCTTATCCAGAGCGATTTACATTTATATATCTGAACAGTTGAGGGTTAAGGGCCTTGCTCAAGGGCTCAACAGTGGTGGCTTGGCAGTGCTGGGGTTTGAACTCATGACCTTCCAATAAGTAGCCCGACGTCTTAACCGCTGAGCCACCACTGGCCAGCAGTGTATACATGATACATATGCACGATTATGGCCAAAATGATAATCCCAAATATTTTGATCAATATTGAGATCACGATTATTCATTGATTTTTAGGGACAACATTTTAATTAAACATTCACATTTAAAGCAACAGACTGCTGCTTTCACCTCCATGTTGTGCTACATTCCTGATAATGTACAACCGGGATGGAACCGGAAGCGCTAAAATGCTAACCCGTTTCCAGGTTTTGGCGTTACAAAAGAATGTCATCCCTGCGCTGCTCTATGGTGATTGGCTGTACGTTTAGGAAGCGCCTGATTTGATCTGCAGTGGAGATTTCTACGAGTGGAGGACAAACTTTAAACGTCAATATCGCAGTCGATCGTGTTCATGTAATAGTGGCCGGTCAAAATCATAATCGCGATCCATATTCGATTAATTGTGCAGCCCTAATATACATCTTGGTTAGGAGCAAAATGATATCAATAATATTAACACGAACAGGCTGTGTGGAACGACATGGTTACGGCTTCATGCTCGTAAGTTCCTGGACAAGATCGTACTGGTTAAAAGTAGGCTACTAATTTGTTTGTACAGCTAGACACACTTGCACACTGTGTGTAAACAGCCCATCACCTTCTGACCACATGACCATAGTTGAAGGACTACTCTGATCACAGCAGTGGCTTTGAGGTTTAAAAAAAAAAAAATTCAAATTCAGCACAAGAATTCTACCTTATGAAGCCTTAGGACATTTTGCACGAGGAAGCGGTAAGCATTGTACCAGGGCAGGAAAACGTCTTTGAGTATGTCTCTCACTCCCTCTTCTTTAAAGCGCAGGTTTTCTGCTCGGACCACCGGAGAGTTGATTAGGTACAACCTATAAAGAGAGAACAGAATCTGAAGAATTTGATTGTAAGCCTTTTATAGGAGATGGCGATCAGGAGCAGATTTTTTCACACTCTGTTCATGCTTACAGATTCTACGACAGCCCCATCAAGAAAACCTGTTCCAGACCACTCCAAAACTATTGGAACAGCAAGGCCTATACACCATGGACACTTGGGTTTGAGATCAACAGATTGATATGAGGCGAGAGAGTAGGATTTCAGCTTTTATTTCCTGGTATTTACATCTAGATGTGTTAAAGAACTCAAAACAGAACCTTTTGTATCACACGACCAAATTCTTAGGTGAGCAAAAGTGTAGGTACAGATAAGTAATTTAGGGTAAATAACACTTAATATTTGGTTGTATTTCCCTTGCTTGCAATAACTGCATCCAGCCTGCGACTCATCGTCATCAAACTGTTGGTTTGGGGGGGGAGAGGGGGGTCGAAATCCTTCCACTTTCTCCCCTGATGAAGTCCGTTGTTGTGTTGGAAGTATGTTTTGGATCATTGTCATGCTGCACGATAAAGTTCTTCCCAATTACATTGGATGTGTTTCTCTGTAAATTGGCAGAGAAACCGTTCCTATAAACTCCTGAATTTGTTGGCACAGAGGCCACACCTCCTTCCAAGGGGCTACAGCGCAGAGGCCACACCTCCTTCCCTCGAGCTAAAGCGCAGAGGTCACACCTCCTTCCCAGGGGCTACAGCACAGAGGCCACACCTCCTTCCGGGGGGGGATACAGCACAGAGGCCACACCAGCTTTCCCAGGGGCTACAGCACACAGACCACACCTTCTCCACTGACTGACAATGAATATTAAAGTGTGGAATGCACAAAGTAACAGAGGCACACAAACATTTACAGATACACTTCAGTCACTAATTTATTTCTGCAAGTTCTAATTTATGTTCTGTCTAAAAATCCCAGCCCCTCCCTACAAGCCCGAATGGTAAACTAGAACTAACTCTGTCCCTTGAGTCTTCTACTGAACTGCACTGAATTCATTCCTGGAAAACATCCTGTCATTTATGACTGAGAAATCAGTGAGTATTGATTGAGGAAGACAGCAGTGCATCAAACCCAGGAAAAGGGAATCATTCCCATGAACTACGATGTCATTTTCACCTTACAGTGATCAATGTAGAGAGTTCAGCAACACCGCAAGGACACTTAATCTTTCTGTGTAGTGCGTCAGGCAGCAAAGCGGAAATGCTGGTAAGGCTCTGAGGACATCTCTGAGGACACCAAAACAGACGCGCTGGTGAGGACAGACTGGACAGACGTACTGGTGAGGACAGACTCGCTGTCCCCCCGCTTCCATCTTTCTTCTCTTCCTTTTCTCCTTCTTCTTCTTCCCTTCTCGCACCTTCTTTTTCTCCCCGTATAAATAACTCTCCCTTTCTCCCCTACTCCATCTCCTTCTCTCCAACTCTCTTCTTCCATCTTTCTCTCCTCCTCTTCCTCCCCTTCTTGCTCTCCCATTTCCCACATCTTTCTCTCTTTCCTCCTCCTCCCCCTCTCTCCCTTTCCCCTTCTCTATCTGCCATTCTCTCTCAACATCCCTCTTTCTCCCTGTCCTTCACTCTCCTTCCCTTTCTCCTTTGTTTGCGTTCTCTCCTTTTCCCCTTCTCTCTCCTCCCCTCTTTCTCCCCTGCTCTTCTTCCCCCCTCCTTTTTCTCATTCTCTCTCTTGCTCTCTCTCACCATCCCCCTTTCTCTCTCACCATCCACCTTTCTCCGTCCTTCTCTCTCCTCCCCTTTCTCCTCTTTGCTCCCGTTCTCTCCTTTTCTCCTTCTCGCTCCTCCCCTCTTTCTCCCCTGCTCTCCTTTCTGCCTTCCTTGCCCTCCCCTTCTTCTCCCTTACTCTGTCTCTCCTCCTCCTAGCTCAGCTTCCCACTCCACCCCCCTTCTTTTTCTCATTCTCTCTCCTGTTCTCTTTCTCCCCTTCTTGCTCTCTTTCAATTCTTCTCCCTCTGCTGGTCTCTCTCTCCTTTCTTTCTCCACTCATCTTTCTACAATTCTCTCTCGCTTCAATACGTTTAAATGGCAATGAAGGCACAAATGTTTACGTCGTCTCCTTTCAACCCTACTTTATATGGAACCTGCAGTTTCAGCGTTGCCTCTCACACGCACACTGCATGTGTTAAGTTACTAATATAAATTTAGATCACATAAAACTATGAGAAAAGGTCTAATACTTATGAACAGAACTATTGCAGTCTGTGGGAAGTCAAGAGCTGTTTTTCCTTGATGTAACATTTTACATAATTTCAAGGAAATTTGAGTGCACAGGAAGAAATTGTCACAGCGGTGGGTTGTTTTTTTTTTTAATTTACAACCTATTTTAAACAAAAAGCTCAATATCTGATCTGGAACAGCAGGCGAATGTTATGTGTGCAACAGAACGTAAGAGGCTTTCTACTCTGCATATTCATAGAATCCTTAGATTTTGATAAGGGTACAAATTTTATGGTCCTGACATAGAATGATAATGATAGAGCCTTCATTGGTCACATATACAATAGAGCACAGTGAAATTCTTTTCTTCGCATACAGTCATGGACGAAATTATTGGCACCCCGGAACATTTCCAGAAAATGCACCATTTCTCCCAGAAAAGTGTTGCAATGACAAATGTTTTGGTATACACATGTTTATTACCTTTAAGTGCATTGGAACAGCACAAAAAAGCAGAAGAAAAAAGGTAAATTTTACATCATTTTACACAAAACTCAAAAATTAGGTCGGACAAAATTGTTGGCACCCTCAACTTAATATTTGGTTGCACACCCTTTGGAGAAAATAACTGAAACCAATCACTTCGTATAACCATCAACAAGCTTTCTACACCTCTCAACTGGAATTTTGGACCACTCTTCTTTTGAAAACTGCTCCAGGTCTCTCAGATTTGAAGGGTGCCTTCTCGCAACAGCAATTTTGAGATCTCTCCATAGGTGTTCTATGGGATTTAGATCCGGACTCATTGATGGCCACTTCAGAATTCTCCAGCGCTTTGTCTCCAACCATTTCTGGGTGCTTTTTGAGGTATGTTTCGGGTCATTGTCCTGCTGAAACACCCATGACCTCTGACGCAGACCCAGCTTTCTGACACTAGGCTCTACATTATGAGCCAAAATCTTTTGATCGTCTCCAGATTTCATGATTCCTTGCACACAGTCAATGCACCCAGTGCCAGAGGCAGCAAAACAACCTCAAAACATCCTTGAACCTCCACCATGTTTGACTGTAGGTACTGTGTTCTTGTCTTTGTAGGCCTCTTTCTGTTCTCTGTAAACAGTAGAATGACGTGCTTTGCCAAAAAGCTCTACCTGTCCACAAAACGTTCTCCCAGAAGGATTGAGGCTTACTCAGGTACATTTTTGCAAACTGCAGTCTGGCTTTTTTATGCCTCTGTGTCAGAAGTGGGATTCTCCTCGGTCTCCTGCCTTAGCGCTTCTTCTCATTCAGATGACGACGTATGGTTCAAGCTGACACTGATGCACCCTGAGTCTGCAGGACAGCCTGAATTTGCGTCGAAATTGACTGAGGTTGTTTATCCACCATTCGAACTATCCTGCGTTGCATTCTTTCATCAATTTTTCTCTTCCGTCCACGTCCAGGGAGATTTGCCACAGTTCCATGGGTTATAAACTTCTTGATTATATTGCGTACAGTGGACAAAGGAAGTTTAAGATCTCTGGAGATTGACTCGTAACCTTGAGATTGTTGATATTTTTCCAAAATTTTGCTTCTTAAGTCCTCAGACAATTCTCGGCTCTTCTTTCTCTTCTCCATGCTTGGTGTGGCACACACAGGCACACAACACAAAGGTTGAGCCAACTTTTATACACTCTAACTGGCTTCAGTTTGGATTTCTATAATGCCAGCACCTGTTACTTGCCACAGGTGAGTTTAAATGAACATCACATGCTTGAAACGAAATTATTTACTCACAGTTTTAATAGGGTGCCAATGATTTTGTCCAGTCCATTTTGGGAGTTTTGTGTAAAATGATGTAAAATTTGCCTTTTTTCTTCTGCTTTTTTGTGCTGTTCCAATGCACTTAAAGGTAATAAACATGTGTATACCAAAACATTTGTCATTGCAACACTTTTCTGGGAG